TTTTTAAAAGTTTCTTTCACGTCCTTGTTAAAACCCAATGAGTTGAGCACTAGTTGCTTCACCTTACTCTGCAGTGCGATAGTCTCGGCTAGGAGGTCTCGACAACGGCTGTAATCTTTTTCTTTCTTCCAAACCAACTGAGCCATGACGTAACAAAGACTAGCTGATTTCCCCAATGAAACAGAAATCTCCACAAGGAACTCAAGCTGTTGCTCTGCTTCTTCAATCTCACCAAGCACAAGTAGACACTGAACGGACCCATACATGGGTTCCATACTCAGCTCATCCAGTTGGGACGCTAACCTGTATCCCACGATGGTTCCAAACTTCAGTGCTTGACTGAATGATCAAAGTAACTCTTCTGAAATAGAAGCATGCTGGAGACCTCGAATGAACGGAATAAAGTTTTAGATAACAACGAAGGACCATCTTCTTCAAAGTTAAGGGTCTGGGTTTCTCTTAAAGAAAATCCCACAATAAGGTTCACCTGTAGTTCTCGAGTGCTCCTTTATAATCTCCCAGCAGAAAGTATTGATCTGCCATCTCCATGAAAAACTGCGCATGCTTCGGTAGCAGCCCTTCGGCTCTCTTGGTGAGAGCCAAAGTTTTGCGCAAGACCGATGGGCAGCCTCTTCCTGCGATTCTTGCCAAGGGGCCTGAAACTGCACATGTACGTACGCCTTGCACTTAGTCCAGACTGGATACCTTCAACCTCGCAGAGTCACGTTTTCAGATTACAGCACCTCCAGGCCACAGCAAGGTTCTTCTCCTGTTGTTAAAATCAGCGGACAAACAACTTTTGTTGTCGTAAAAGTTTCCAGAGATTTCAGTTTGTCGCATATTCTGATGCAAATGGCCGCTGAGATTGAAGAAATATTCATCTCAAATGTAACGAATATGAAGGACCATTAACAGTCGAAGCAATGACGGGAATACCTTGGAGACAAAGATTTCCATTGCAAGTTTCTCTTTCTTCAATAGTCCTTAGTAATTTATCCAGTACATGTGTGGCATTTGGGGCCTCAGTCCCAGTACATAGCATCACGTGGATGGTCAAGCGCAAACCTTCGATGTTGTTGGGGTCCTATCTTAGAGAAAATAACAAGTTTGTGAGATTCTAGTTCTTTTTCAATTGTACTCTGACTAGGAACAGACGAAAAATTCACTAGCTTACATTCTTCATTTGCTTAAACTTGTGGGCAAATAGGGACAGGTCACAACTAACACTCTGTCACTCCTCCCGTAGTCAATTTCATGCTCACTCAGTCAGGCATTCAGAGTACACAGGTAAGAACTAGTGTTCTTCAGTCTATGAGTGCATAAGAGTGCTACAGTTATTTTTAGGATGGGAGGGAGTTGGACTCGCGTCATATTTATTGATAAATTTTTGGTTTACGCGTATTCAGGCAAATAAATATCAGGATATAGCCGAAGAGAATGTTCAGAAAAGGATGTGGGGCCCTTGATCCTAAATTCTAAACCCTAAACTCATGTCAAAACATCCTTCCTTTGTACACATAGTATGTAACTAGTGAGATGCCCCGTAGCAGGTTAGGTCAAGAGCAACACAAATTACCCTATGAAGAATGAGCTGTGACGTTTCCCGTACGAGATCCCAGTCTTGGAGCAGCATTCCCAACCTTCCTTTCTCACACAACGCTGGTAGATACCATGGATATGCAACAATGACCTGCCACACTCAGTTCACACATCAACTGACTCCCTTCCTATGTTCCCTGCTATGCACAGTAAACATTGACTATTCTTTGAGGCCCATGGCCTTCTTAAATCCACGGGGACTTCATCGTAGGTCGTTCATAAATTTAGTCTCAAAACTCTGAAAAGTATACAAAGTGTTAATGTTTTTGCGAATCTTCCTTACTTGATTCAACTCATCCATCGCCTTCGCGAACTCATCTTTGAGCTCATAATAATAAGCTCTTCCAAGAAGAGCCTCAATGCAGTTCCCTCGTCCAAGCACTTCGTTAAACACATGCAGGGAAGTCTCCATGCAATCCGAATCCAGTCTGTGGCTCTGCCTCGTATTCTCGCGAGTCTTCTTTCTTTCACTTTCAAGTTCAAGTCCAATCCAGGCTGACAAACACTCGAACGGAACATAATGTGGCTGGATTTGTAATATCCTTAGACAAAACAATTCATAATATTTTAGATTACTTCTCAAACTAACGATCAGATCTAGAACCAGCAAAATTTGACAGATTTGAATCTTCGACCCAATACACCGCCTGTGATTTTTAACGATAAGCTCCCAGACTTCAAAGTTATACTTCGGGCAATCAGCTGGAACGCAACATATTTCCATAGCTGTGATTTCATGAGTGGTTTGACCATCTGCACAACACTTACGATGTTCTGCTGAAAAGGTACCTTCGGAGGACAACTGTCAATGACGGCGATAAAAGTTCTCAAAATCTCCATGGGGGCAGGATGATAGAAGCCCATGACTCACCTGTCTAATGAGCAAGGTTGGGTGTACTTGGATTCCATATACTTTTAGCCACAGTAAAGAGGCACTTACTTAGCTGTTAGCTCCTTCGCTTTCTTCACATTGCTCGTTCCACCGAGATATAGGTACAACGTTGCAGCAAGGAATAGTGCCCTTTCCGAACCGCACTTCTCGACAACCCGCAATCTTTGCTCGAGATTATCGACTTCTTCGTTGTCAATTATTGCACAAAGACGGTGTGCATGGAGCATTGCAGCGACCACAACAACTTCAACATCCCTCGGCTCACTTACCCTTTGCAGTTCTTGTAAGGCGTCAGCGTAGGAACCTTCCAAGATCAGTCCAAAGGCCTACAACACCAGAATGGATCGCCGTCCTTGTAAGCAACAAACACGATAGCGAGGCTACAAAGCTTCGGCAGGAAAGCCTGCATTTGCGTCATGAAATGGTGACTAAGAACCCATGCTCCCATACGAACTTCAATCATCAGCCCAGAATCTTGGACCGAAAGAAGCTACGACCATGACCACAGCAGACAAAGTTCCACGTCAGATTTTCATCAGATGGGCATCTCATGAGCAGATCATTCATTGTCTAAGGCTGAGGTGAGATTCAAGTGTTTGAAGAGACAACTAATAGTTGTTAATCATCAGCAGATGTATACACAACAAAACATATAACTTGGGGCCAAATTCTGTAGATCATAAAGAGGAAACCGAAGAAAACCGGAGAAAAATAAAATTCGTACATGCCAAAATATTAGCAACGCATCCTTAGGGCGCTTCTGCAGGTGTTTGGAACAGAAATTTTGTATGTGTTGGCCGTATCCAATCCGCGCATAGTAAAATATCATGGCTTGCACATCGTCTGCCATGATCAGTTGCTAGTGGTTTCAGATCAACTTGAATAAAATCAAGTCGCTCGGAAATCACAGGCAAAGTTCATGCGTTCAATGATGTTGTGGCACGCCTCCAGTAGTTTCAGACTTGGTATCTGGAAATAACAGAGACTGTTAGTAAAGGGACCAAAGATACAAGCACTTTCACTGAGATAGCTAGGTACGATTGCTTTCCAGTGAACCCATACAGACATCACGGACATGAATGCGTTGCTACCTGTTCGAAACTATTTCTGTACTTAAAATAATAAAGATCATGATACGAATAATACAGAGAACAGGAAAAGATAGGGATCGGACCATGACTTTGTCCTCAGGAAAAGCAAATGCTCTGTCTGCGAACAAACATTCTGAACTATGACACTGCTCGTCGTTTATTATACCTGCTTCGTTAAGTAGCATTACTTCATGCAGGATAAATATGTCATGTACAATAGAACAGGTGTAGGAACAACTTCAAAACTTAGGCAGACAAATCTCTTTGTCTCGTAGCCATAAGTCATAAGTACAGAGCCAATCCCGTAGATTGGCAAAGACTCAGCCATAGGAGACGTCGCAGCCCCACGGGCCCAAGGTTCGGGTCGAGCATACGCGTCTCTCTCTTTGGTCGAGAGCTAAAGCCCCAAAAATGGCAATGTAAAAAAAATATTACTTTCTTTTCGTAGCTTTTCACTGAGTTCAACAAAATGAAAGATCATGATTTAAACATGAAACTCGAAAAACACGTAAAAAGGCAAGTTTATGCATTAACTAAACTATACACGATGTACATCTGCTTACTTCTCCTTGATCAGGACTTTATTTACAGAGTTGCCTTTTACTGACATTCTGATCGAGCTAGTTCAGGCTCAACGGACAATTCTGCAATCTTTGCAGAGGCCCTCTGACACAGCAAGTGAAAGCAAGCGAGTAGCATCCTCGCTAATGCACGCGCCAACATAATTAACGGCGGACGAATTTCCAAAAACATCCAGTATTTTTGTTGATGCTTTCAGTATCCAGGAACAACTGGCAAATTTCTTCACCGAGAGAATCCATCGAACAGAAATCGAAAACGTGGCGTTGATTGCACTAAACGAGTTCAAAGGCTGTAAAGAATTACCCAGAAGAGTTTCGCGCACTGCCGGAAGAAGACTTTGACTACAAAAGTGCATCGTCAAGAAGACGCTTTGCTGATATGAAAATTCCGTTTTGCGGAGGCAAAACCAAGGCGGACCACGATCACCCAAAGCCTAACTCGAAACTCTCAGAAGCCGACCGGCACCTGTTATGAACCCATCGAGTTGCCGGTCGTCGATTACGGTACCCAAATCCGAATCAGTCCTAGGCTCTAGAGTATTTGCCACTCCTTAAACACTTGCAGTTTACAATCTCGACCTTCCGATGGAATTCATACTATACATTTACTCTTAGATTCTTGTGTACTGGGGAACTACGTAACGGAAAGTCCAATTGCTACAGTACGGTACAGTATGGTAGCAGCGCAAAGTCCCGGAATCCTTTCATTTTCCTGAAAAACCGCACGCTCTCACCTTCATTCTTTCATTCGCCATTAGTACAAATAAATTGTATATTTCGTTCTCTTTTTCTAATTTTTCATTAGGGTTGAAATTACCGGTCTGGACATCGCTTCCAACAAATTACAAAGAACATTCTAAGATTTTACTTTTATTATCATTAGTGTTGGTGTGAAACATTCCGAAAAGATTTGAGTACTCACTGTTAATGAACACAAAAGAGTAGGTTCTAGCAACAAGAAGATTAGAAATTTCAAGGTTGGGTCTTTATTTCATTTGGAAAAGATATTTTGACATAACATTATTTTCATATTATTACATTTAATGGTCAAATACAGTTCCTATGCATAATACATCAGGAGTGTATTTCTTTGATTTATATTTTAGATAGTAATGTAAATGGTTAATTTAGCGTGGGTGATAACCTATGTCACAACTTATGTAGCGGCATCCCTAGTTAGATAGGTGCGCTCGCATGCATAAGGATATACAACACTTAGAGCCGATAGTGCAATTAGTGCCGTTCGCACTCGATCTACCGTTTGGGCCTACAGCTCCATTGTGAGACCTAGGGCTCAAGGGGTAAAGTTCAAATTAGGACTTATTAGGATGCAGTTTTCTAAATTAAGCCTTTGAGAGTGTGGCTATAGTGGATAGTAGCTAGTGCAAGAACTTGGAGTTTTTGAAGCACAAGTGGGTTTGGTTCAATTGTAATCTCTTTTTTGTGATATGGTTATGAGTGGAGTGAACTTGTGGACGTTTTGAGAGTGGAAGAGATTTAATTTTAATTTTGTTATGAAAGGTGTGAGTTCTTGGAGCATTGAAGTATTCTAGCGAGTTTTGATATATGGTATCTTCGATCTTTTTTTCTGTAGAGTGGGCATGGCGTTGATGGAGTGAAGACTATGGTGGTGATCTGAAAGTAGATTCAATTCAAAGTTGGTGTGATCAATTTTGAATATCTGTTTTTTTTATTTTAGTGCTTAAATCCGAATCAAAGAATTTTGGAGGGCGGAAAACACCGGCTAAAAATTGATGAAGTGGTTCAATACTCATAGCTATCTTGGGATATCTACAACTTTGTGAGGTTCTATCTTCATGAGTTTTGGTATTAGAGGGTCGTGATGGTGTGATTTGGAAGTATCATGTGTGTAATTGTGCGCCATGTCACCTTCCAAACATTTATGGTATTATGAATCCAATACGGGCAGGCTTGAGATGTATGTTATGTGGATTTGTTAGTGGAGCAGCCAGTATGTTGATTTGTGATTCTTGTTCAAGAGTATGGCATTCATGTTTGACACCTCCTCTCAATGTGGTGCCCAGTGGACGGTAAAGATGTCCTCAATGCGATTAACATGCAAGCTGGTTTGACCGTAACATGGTATAGATTACAGATATGCAACTAACAATGGGGCATTGTAGCACAAAGGTCATATCATGTTATGGACTAGATGGCTACCTAGTGTTAGAGGGATCTAACCGCTAGTTAGGGGGACGATTGTGATACATTTGTGTTGATGTATGATGATCTATGTAGTGTGATGTTTGATGTGACAACGATATACATTTTGATGCGATATGTATGTGCACAATAGCTATCACGACTTATGAAGTGGCATTCCTAGTTAGGTATGTGTGCGCATGCAGAGCAGATACAACAATTAGAGCCGATTGTGTAGTTAACGTCATTTGCACTGGAACTACCATTAGGACCAACAACGCTGTTAGGAGACATAAGGTTCAAGGGATAGAATTCAAATTAGGGCTCCTTGCGGTGCAGTTTTCAAAGTTGAGCCTTGGAGAGTGTGGCTATGGTGGAGAGTAGTTAGTGCGGGAACGTGTAGTCATAGCGAGATACGATCATTCAGGTCAGTATCTCGAACCAGTGGCTTGATCCCATCTGAGACAAAGAAATGAAGAAAGAAAAGAAGAAAGAAGGAAACAAATCTTTGGGACATGAGGCTGAATCTCAGCGGATCATTGCAGCAAGGCTACTCTGCCACTTATAATACCTAATCCCGTATTTAAGTCATCTGCAAAGGATTCATCTCCCTGATTATTTGGAATTACGATTCAAAGCATCTGAGCCGACTTCTTCCGTCGGCCCAAGGAAACTCTCAACACATGCTTTTGGGGACGAACGAGCCGCCCCTACCAGTACTCGGTGAAAACCGGGGAGATAGAAAGCGCCGCTTCTAGCATGGATTCTGACTTAGAGGCGTTTAGTCATAATCCTATGCATGGTAGCTTCACGTCATTGGCTTTTTAACCAAACCGAATTACCAATTATTCGAATCAACGATTCCTCTCGTACTAAGTTGAATTACTATTGCAGTGCCGAGTCAACAGTAGGGTAAAACTAACATGTCGCACGACGGTTTAAACCCAGCTCACGTTTCCTATTGCCAAGTGAACAATCCCACACTTGGTGAATTCTGCTTCACAATGATAGAAAGAGCCGAAATCAAAGGATCAAAATTACTATTGCAGTGCCGAGTCAACAGTAGGGTAAAACTAACATGTCGCACGACGGTTTAAACCCAGCTCATGTTTCCTATTGGCAAGTGAACAATCCCACACTTGGTGAATTCTGCTTCACAATGATAGAAAGAGCCGAAATCAAAGGATCAAAAAGCAACGTCGCTATGAACGCTTGACTGCCACAAGCCAATTATTCCTGTGGTAACTTTTCTAACACCTCTAACTTCAAATTCCGAAAGACTAAGGGATCGATATGCCATGCTTTCATAGTTTGTATTCGTACTGAAAATCAAAATCAAATGAGCTTTTACCCTTTGTTTTACACGAGATTTTTATTCTCGTTGAGCTCATCTTAGGACACTTGGGTTATCTTTTAACAGATGTGCTGCCCCATCCAAACTTCCCACCTGACAATGTCTTCCACTTGGATCGCGCCCTGTTGCCGGGACGCTTAAGGCCAAAAGAGTGACCATAGGCCCGTCCCCACCTCATGGAATAAATAAAATAATGTCAAAAGTAGTGGTATTTCACTTGCGGCCCTCATGGACCTCCCACTTATTCTACACCTCTTGATTCATTTCACAAAGTCGGACTAGAGTCAAACTCAACAAGGTTTTCTTCCCCGCTGATATTTCCAAGCATGTTTCCTTGGCTGTGTTTTCGCTATATAGTAAATAGGGATTGTGGGAATCTCGTTAATCCATTCATGCGTGTCACTAATTAGATGACGAGGCATTTGGCTACCTTAAGAGAGTCATAGTTACTCCCGCCGTTTATCCGCGCTTGGTTGAATTTCTTCCACTTTGACATTCAGAAAACTGGGCAGAAATCACATTGCGTCAACATCCATGAGGAGCATCGTAATGTTTTGTTTTAATTAAACAGTCGGATTCCCCTTGTTCGTATTAGTTCTAAGTTGGTCGTTCACTATCCAAGGAAAGTCGAGCCCTCGCCCCCCATCCCGCAAAGGTGGAGGAGAGAGGAGAGACATCTGACATTCTACGTCCTTCTCTTGACAAGCATGCAACTGTCCCTTGCCGTGCGAGCAACTCATGCAGACCATCGATAGTCCGGCAAGGTCTAGATGCAGACCCTAGAACCCGACCCTCAGAGCCAATCCTTTTCTCGAAGTTACAGACCTGTTTTGCCTTACCTTCATTATTCTATCGATTAAAGGATGTTCACCTTGGAGACCTGATGAGGTTATGAGTACGACCGAGCATACTTGCTCCTCTGGATTTTCAAGGACGTCAGGGACGCACGGACATCGCAAGACATGAGATGTTTTGCCGACCGCTAGGTCTTATCTCCACGTAATGCGATTTCAGGGCGGGCGGGTCGTCAGAAAGAAAAGAAAACTCTTCTCGTGGCTCCCGCCGGTGTCTCAAGTTTTGGTGGCGTCGCCGTCCACTCCCACGTCTTGGTTCAAGAATATTGATCCGATCCCTTTTCGATGCACGGCGCACATTGCGTCTTTGACACAAGATTTTCCCATCTCTTAGGATCAACTAATCCGTGTCCAATTGATGTTCACACATAACCTTTCTCCACTTCAGTCTTCAAAGTTGTAATTTGAATATTTGTTACTACCACCAAGATCTGCACAGGGGCCATTTCAGTACTCGGGCCCGAGGCTGCGCCATGATCCCCGCGCCCTCCTACTCATTGGGGCTTTACAAAATTGCCCACGATGGCCGAGTGTATGCCTCGCGTTTCAGTACCATCCATTTTCGGGGCTAATCGATTCGTCATATGAGTTGTTACACACTCCTTAGTGGATTTCGACTTCCATGATCATTGTCATTGTCATGATCATCGGATTCTCCGTGGGGGGTTCAATTAAGCAACCTCGTCGGATCTCAACTATTTAAAGTTTAAAAATAGGTCGAGGGTGTTTCATTCCCGATGCCTCTAATCATTTGCTTTACCTGATGAATCTCCTCGTGCTCCAACTATCCTGAGGGAAACTTCCCAAGGGAACCAGCTACTAGATGGTTTGATTAGTCTTTCGTCCCTATACCCAAGTCTGACAAACAATTTGCATGTCAGTATTGCTACAAGCCTCCACCAAAGTTTCCTCTGACTTCACCATGGTTATGCATAGTTCACCATCTTTCGGATCCCAACATGCATGCTCTTACTCGAATCTTTCGCATAAGCTCATGGTCGGTCAATGTTGCATCCCACAGAGGAGGATCACACCAGTTAAGTTATTTGTGCGTCACGTGGGTTTGCCGCCCATTGGTTTGCATGCATGTTAGACTCCTTGGTCCGAGTTTCAAGATGGGTCGGATGAAAAGTCCACTACGTCAACATCTCGAGTGCACTGGTGGCCCCCGAGGAATGCCCGCTTCAATTCCTCTATCATCTTGATGGCAGCGGCCGGCCACTAAAGGCCGACATTTCTTCCTCCGTAATAGCCCACGCTGACCAGCACCCCGCGTCAAGCAGCGGACCAGCTTCACGCCATTTTGCATCTGACTAGGGCGCACACGAGGCCTCCATTTGCTTACCTCCCAGTAATTTCAAGCAATTTTTAACTCTCTTTTCAAAGTCATTTTCATCTTTCCCTCGAGGTACATGTTCGCTATTGGTCTCCCGCCAATATTTAGCCTTGGAAGGAATTTACCTCTAGCTTAGGGATGCATTTCCAAACAGTTTGACTCGTTAATAGCGCCTCGTGGAACTGCAAGGTCTCGGCCCGATATGGTTCTCACCCTCTCCGACCCTTTCCATGGGACTTGGGCCAAGTCCGCAGTAGAGGACGCTTCTCCATACTACAATTCGCCCAGTGAAGCGACACGATTTTCAAGCTGGGCTTCTCCCGGTTTGCTCGCCATTTAATACAATATAAAATTTATTTTATTTTATCATGAATAAATAAATAAATTTTTAATAGAAAATGGTGGATTGAAGTATAATATCAAGTATTTTTGAGATGTTTTGCTTGCATTTTTTCTCAAAATTTTGTTTGAAATTTTGACATATTAATTGTCCTTATATCAAACTTGCATAATATCTTTTGATATGAAATAGTGCAATTGCATAGTGAATCAAAATTCTAAATCCTATTTTGAAAGAGAATTCACGATGTATGAATGTTAAAAATTAAAAATAATAATTTCAAAATATGAATGATGCATAAATTTTAAATCTAAATTCATTTAGAAATCCAAATTAATTGATATGTTTAATTTCAAACAAATTTTAAATTCAAATAATAATTATTTGAATATATAAATTAAATTATTTTCAAAAAAATAGTTATAAATATTTGAAAAAAATATTTTTTTATTTTATTCAATGTTACATATATATATATATGTTAAATATAAATTATTTATATTTATCAAAATATAAATAAATTAAAAATTATATTTAAAAATATATAAAAAATCAGATTTTTCATAATCTTAAAATATTATTCTTTTAATATATTTTTATATATATATTCATAATTGATGAATTTTTAAAAATTATGAATTAGCCAATGAATTAAAATGGCTTGTTTTGATTTCATCATATTTGTTAATCTATGTGAACCTCATTCAATTTCAATATTATATCAACCTTAAGATGAAAATTTATTCATTTTGGACTTTAAATCTTTTGAACTTTCACACAACATAAAATTTCACCAAAAGATATTTGTATTTATGCATAAATAAATAGAATTAGTATTTGGAAACTCTAATTGAAAAAAAATATTTTTTTTTATTCAACAAAATTTAATCAAAACTCATAAAAAAAATTTGATCTGATCAAATACATGATTAAATGTGACTTATGAATGAAAATTTTATTTGATTTATGATGTTTAAACGAGTAAAACATCTTGAAATTCTTGATTAAAGTCAAGCTGCTTCAATCCGTCGACCGATTGCACAACCTAAATCCCTCTCAATTCACTCGTGTGAACTCACTAGTGGTATTCATGTGTAACTTACTAACTTATATTCGGACGAATACCCACATTAGAACCCGAATATAGCTCTTTACTAACGAAAACCAAAAAAATTTCTACTTATCTTAAGAACTATGCTACTAGAAGCATTTATATGCATGCGATTTTTGCTCAACATGATTTACTTACAGTTCTCATCACTAATATGGACATTCAATTTTCAATTATCGTTTGTAGCATTAAAATTCATTTATTTTTTGAATAAATCATCATATTGTTCATATATAAAAAAAATCCATCCAAATTTGATTAACATAATATGTTTAATAATTATGATTTTTTTTATTTTTAATATTTATACAATATTAAAAAATATATATTTTAAAATTAAAACAAAATTTTGAATTTTTGATATTCTTTTTTACTTTTTGATAGGTATGTATTGCTATATCAATAAGTGAGTTTTTTTTCCATTCAATTTTAAATTTATTTATAAATTTAATGTAGAATAAAGCTTTTTCATTTGAATATATATGTGAAAAGTTATAAATATTAACAAACAAAATTTACATATAAAGATGATATATTTTCAGAAATATGTCTTTCAAAATATCAATATTCTTGGAATAAGAATAATAAACAAATAAATTATAATTTAGTTTAAAGAATTGTTGAATTTCTTATTTAACTTCATATTTGATGAAATTATTTTGACACTACTTTTCTATAATCTTGTTTAGTTGAACTTGCACATTGGAAACTTTTATGTTTTATAATGACTTCCATCTTATATAACTTTTATCAAATTGATTATATTTTTATTACTTTCAAGTAATATATGAAAAATAAGTTTTGATAACAAATAATAATATATTATGATCTCAACATTGATATAAATAATGGGGAAAGAATAGAATTCATGTTATAATTTGTGAACACAAGCATAAAATCTCTTATAAAATTAATAATATCCAATGAAAAAAATATTTAAAAATTAAAATTATGAATGAAGAAAAATTTTTGAATTTTGATAATAGATTATCATTTAAATAATTAAATCTTTTAATTAATGGAAAATAAAACTATAGTTCTAAAATACAAACTCAAATATTAAGTTTATTTTAAATTTTTGCAAATTTTACTCAATGCTAACTTTGAAACTAGCTTTAAGTGATTTAAAAATAAAATTTTAATTACATTGATGGAAATTTGTTGTTAAATATATCTTTTTTAAATAAAAAATATCATTCTTTCAATGAACAAATTATGATATTAAAAATATGTGATTGATGTTTAATAATAACAAAAATTTATTGATTTCAAATTTTTAATTTGATTTTAAGCTTTAAGAAAGGGATTTGATTAAGAAAGTAGCATTCATAATTTGAATGATTGATTTTAAAGATGATAAAACTTCAGGTTTTTTGCAAAACATCATTCTTAATTACTCATATATCGTCTCATGAGATTAGAGAATGACAAAATTGGTTCAAGTGACATGATTTATATTTTGAAATATATTTTAAATAATTGAATAACACGTTCACACAAAATTAAATTCATGAATTAAATATTTCGCACGTCCTTGATCTCCTTGCACTTTTTCCTATTATTTCCGCCGAGGCACAAAGAGGCCCGAACTGGACGCGCAATCGCAGTAATTGCCTCCCAACCTCCATGACAAGGAGCCCGGATCACCTTCATGCACATCCCGCTTGGGCCTCACCTCTCCGACGCTACATTTAAACTAACCACAATCGTTTGGCCCCACAAAGGACCGACTTTCCCGGAGAGTCAACTCAACGTTCCTCCGTACTTGGTGAGAACAACAGTGACGCTCATGCCCTCGGCAAAGCCTTGGATGCAACATGCATTCAAAAACTCGATGATTCGTAGAATTATGTAATTCACACTAGATATTGTATTTCGTTGTGTTCTTCATCATTGGGGGAGCCAAGATATCTGTTGTTGAGGGTCGTAACATTTTTTTTGGTCTGCGCAAAGGGCGGATACGCATCCCGCGGACTCTACTCCGTCTTGAAAAGGAGCGAATTCCCATGATGGGGCCCGCATCCTCGAGTTTGAATCCCATGACGGGGCCCGGTCTCTATACCGTGACTGTTCAGGAGTCTCTGACCGGGGGACGGTGCTCCTCATAACATCACTCAGACATAAGATTTAACTACTGTTGTGAAGAAAGAGCCCCGCACCTATGTTCGACGGCCATCTCTCCGTCGAGATAATGGCTTTGGTCGTAGAAGCGGAGGAGGAGATGACGTCATCATCGTAAAATCCAAAGAATGAACCCCCGGACCCTAGCCGAAGCAAACGCACTGAATCCCACGCCCACGAGCCATCGGACCGCACAGCCCCACACACCCCTCTCCTCTCCAGTCCACTCATCCGTCACATCCATCTTTCTCGCGTCCCACAACCCGGAGGGGCGGGCCAAAGTCTAACACTTCACAAATGGCAATTTAACGCGACTTCCACCATGACAAGATGACGAATATGGGACTGATGAAGAGAAAAAAGCCTTGAGATTAGCTACACCCCAAAGCCCTCCGAAGGCACGCTCAGCCCCATAGCCCGACGAAAAGTGACCACAGATTTTCGCACGAAGACCACACTGCTGGGATCCCTAGGCCCCCCCCCTTTGCATCTGGACACAAGGCCGAGGATGCCATCCAACCGACGACGTTCTATACGCTCGGCACTTTGAGCACAACCCCAAAGATAGCCCGTCCTAGTCACCAGCCGATTCTTTATCACCATGTTAAGAGCTTTGGGGCCAACCAATATCCGAAACGAATCCACAATCTGGGCGATCATTAACGCAGATCTCCCGAGGGCCCAATCCCCCGTGCCGACTCGGCACCCTACTCTGCTTAAAATGAAGCGACAGCAAATCGAGCACAACAAAGGGCCTCCTGCCATGAATCATGCAATGCTCATACACTACAATTACATCCTCTACCGATTATGGGATTTGGTTATCGTTGGATCTTGGATTTTGCATGACCTCTTCCATTGATTATATGACATCATCAATATGTGTCAGTCATTGTGGAGCATTTCTCCAAGGGGATTGAGTTGGTGGCATTGTTTGACAAGTCAATTGAGGGAACAACTTATGCGTTATTAGATGTAGTGCTCAGCCGATTTGGTGCACTTGCAGAAGTGTTGACTGATAAGGATACAAAGTTTGTGGATAAGTTTCAAGCTTTTTGTGATCGAGCGTTGATCGATCATCATACCACTTTAAGATATCATCAAGAGGCTGATGATCTAGCATAAAGAGTTGTTTAGACGGGGAAGAGACGACTACGAAAGTTTGGCTTAGAGAAAGGTCATCTGGAAAACTGGGACATCCAACTACCATGGTTGGTCATGCATTATCGATTTAGCCAGCAAGCATCTCTAGCGTCATTCTCATCGTACTTTTTATGCTATGGTAGAGATCCAGACTTATTTATTGCAGCTATTCATGGAGAGTCAAATAAAGTCTTGGACTTGGATAACCATGATGTTTGGATTAGGATGTGTTATCAAAGGGTAGAAGTTAATGTCTATGACATTTGAGAACGTGTCTATTGCTCAACATAGAGGTACTTTGCGTTATGTTACCATCCGAGGAGATGGATATCAACCTTCAATTAACATATTTCATGTTGGTGATTACGTTTACTTGCAACAAAATGCACCGATCACATTGGATGTTATTGCTGGTCGCACGATTTTATGAATATATGGGGTTTTACCTTCTAGAGTTTTGGTATTAGAGGATCATGATGGTGTGATTTGGAAGGATCATGTGTGTAATTATGCGACATGTCTTCTTGTAAATATTGATGGTACTATGGATCCAAGACTGGTAGTTGTGCGGGCAAGCTTAAGATATATGTTATGTGGATGAGTTGATGGAGCAGCCAATATTTTGATTTGTGATATTTGTTCGAGCGGATGACATATGTCATGTTTGACACCTCCTCTCAATGCAGTGCCAAGTGGACGGTGGAGATGTCCTCGATGCGATTAACATGCAAGCTGGTTTGACTCTTACATGTTATAGATTGCAGACATGCGACTAACGATGGGGCATTATAGCACTTGGGCTCCTTATCTTAGCCCCACAAAGGGCATATCACGATAATGGACTAGATGGTTACTTGATGTTAGAGGGACCTAACCGTCAGTTAAGGGGACGATTGTGGTATACTTGTGTTGGTGTATGACGATCTATGTATTATGATGTTTGATGTGACAAGGATATATGCTGTGATACGATATGTATGTGCACAGTCAATGTCATGACTAATTGCATCCCTAGTTAGGTAGATGCGGGCATGCACGAGCAGATATAATAGTTAGAGCTGATAGTGCAATTAGCGTCATTCGCACTCGATCTGCCGTTTGGGCCGACAATTCCATTAGGAGAATCAAGGCTCAAGGGGTAGAGTTTGAATTAGGGCTCATTGGGGTGCAATTTTTGAAGTTTAGTTTTGAGAGTGTAGCTATGGTGGATAGTAGCTAGTGTAGAATATGTAGTCTTTGAAGCACAAAGTGGGTTTGGCTCAATTGTAATCCCTCTTTTATCCTATGGTTAGGAACGGAGTGTACTTGTGGACATTTTGAGAGTAAAAAAGATTATCGTGGTACACTTGTGTTGGTGTATGACGATCTATGTATTGTGATGTTTGATGTGACAACTATGTATGTTGTGATGTGATATGTATGTATGTGCAAGACACCTATCATTGTAACACTTCATATTTAAAGTATGTCATGTCACAATTTATTCATGATAAATTTTAATGTCATGATAAATGTATACATATTGTCACACAGGTTGGACTACACACTGGAATGCATTATACAAAATGTCTCTATAGTTTCTGACAAGGACTGGTAAGGAAGAAAGAGACGTGATAGACACAGGATTAACTCGGGCACGCCAAAGAAAATTCATCGGGTGGCTACAATAATAAACATGTCCAAGGAATATTGGTGCGCTTAACATAAGTTAAGCGCACCAATATTCAGTCGCGGAGCTACGCAGTGGCAACATGGCGACGTATGTAAATAATTGAGACATATCCATGACAGTTTAGGGGTTTTTGCTAAGCGATCGGTTCTGCTGGTTTCGAATAATTAATTTGTCGGTTTTCATTTTTTTCATTTTGGTATTTCCCGTCCTCTTGGTATATCACATCTCTTGTTCTCCCATTTAGTGAGCACCACGATTCTGTGATTTCCCCTCTGTATTGAATGCGTATCCACTTATTGGTACATATACTTCCAATCAACCAGTAAACACTTTATTAAGGGCTTGAAAAATAATTTTGACTACAATTCTCTTCAATGTATCTATTGCTCGTATATCTCCCTATATAGCTGTATGAATTATTTGAGTGTTTTGCAGTCACTAAGGCAGAGTATTTTTAAATCTAAATTTCTCAAATTGGGTTAAGAATTACAAATCGTGGAACGAAGTATCAACTGGGTGCTGTCTGTCGACACTTTGACGATTTGTTTAGTTGAAGATTCCAAAAAGTGACCGGAAATGAAAAGAAATGACTGGTCGGGAATATTTGTCCGAGCTTAGCGATGTGTTTGTGCTTGAGTGTGGGTGATTCGTGTTGCGTTTGAACGAATGGGGCGAACGAGGCTATGGAGGAAAGGGTGACCGGTAGAGTCACTTGTGAACGACCGGATATTCTCGACCACGAACGACGAGCTCGGAGAGTGAATTGACGACGAAATGGCTTGTACAAGAAACTTCCTTGGCTACGGAGAGTGAAGCGGGAGAATGAGAGTATGGTAGTATCATTCTTCTACATATTGTGTGGTTACGCGTTGCCACACATATAGAGTGAGTACACATTTTTCTTCGTATTTTAATTTCAGTTCCATTGGTCCCTAATTTGAAGACTATATAGAATGATACAAAGATATTTCAGTGTTTTTATTTTTTTTGAGTGAATTTTGAACAATTTTTCTCAAATTGAATATATAGGTCGGGATTTTTTGTTCAAATATTTTCATTTTCATGTATTGGTTTTATTGATACTTAGTTGGAAAATTATGGAAATCAAAATAAAAATTTATGAATGATTTTTGATTTTAGGGTTTTTAAAGTTAGTATTTTCCCATGTGAGGAGGGGTGTGATGGGATTGTGGTTCTGCATGTGTGAGATACACTATGGAGTGCCTGGATGTATCGTTCTCTTTGTGCTTACTACAGTTTCACTTCCCCTCATGGGGCCACCAAAAGTGGTGCGTTATATACCATGCCCGGTGTGTCATCGTCTCTTTTCCTCGCAAGAGATAAA